TGCAGTGGACAGAGTTGAAAGGCTGAGGGTATAGGGGAAAGAGCTCTAGGCTGGAGTCAGGATGGCCAGCTTTACTTTCCTCTTATAGATAATGGGGGTTGGGGACACAACAGGTCCCTGCCAGCACTAATAGTTCTCTTAGTCACACAGAACAACAGCTGTACAAAGACAGTGTCCCAGGAGGGAATGCTGAGGTCGTAAAGGCTGGTGACTTCAGCAGGCTCAAATACCAACAAGAGTCTGTCCTGCCTCTCCTAGAAAAGGCAAGCCTGAGCTAGAGGACCTCCCACAGCCAGAATATGGAGAGGTGACAAGGACAGGGTCTGCTTCTAGCCTCAGCCCAACCTGAAGCCAAGAACAATGTCAACTTCACCTCCTTCCAAATTCCAGGCCCTAAACTTGATTCTCAAGTTTACCCTGTGGAGCATGCAGGGCAAAGTGCTCAGCCCTGTGTCACAGGAGAGACCACCAGATTCAGGGTGTGGGAGGATCTTGCCAATAAATGTGTAACTCAGATCTTTTGAACCCAAGCTAGAGGCACCCCCACTGCCCAAGATTCCCTCCCCTGGCCCTGGGGTCTTATAAGGAAGTATGAACAGGGCAGTCTTGTCTTACCGCTTTGGTAGAGGACTGATCACATACAAAACACCATGTTCAGGTTCTAGTTAAGTATTAACTCATAGAACCTCAAGCATTAAAAGGAACCAAGAAGGTAGAAGTTCAATCCAAACAGAGTACAACAATCATGAAGCTTTGTGCTCCCAACAACATAGCTTTAAAGTCTATAAACAAAATAGATTCAACCACAAAAACAGAAAAAAACAAAATCACAAGCAGCAGAAGTTTTTAGGCAGTTCTCTTAGAAACTGACAGATTAAGTAGACTAGCAGCTTTTAAACATTTTTTTTTATCTCAGAACGCCTCTATATACATAAATTCTGAGTCCCAGACTGGGTGTAGTGATGCATACCTATAAACCCAGCACTTGAGAGCTAGAGACAGGAGGACAGGAAGTTCAGGTTCCTTTTCATCATAGCTAGTTCAAGCTAGCCTGGGATACTTGAGACTTTGTCTCAATCAAGCAATCAATCAATCAATTATGGCACTGTTATCATGTGCCATAGTTGAAATTTAAAATGAGAAAAAATTAAATTCATCAATTCAGTTAATAAGTCATTATATTGTTAACATAAATAAGTTTCATGAGAATTACATTTTCTACAAGGAGAGGAAAAAAGCGATGCCCTGAGAAGAATGGCATTATTTCACATTTTGGCAAATCTCTTTAATGTCCATCCTAATGGAAGACAGCTGGACGCTGCTATCTGCTCCTGCATTCAATTTGTTGCTACATGTGTTCCAGTTGAACTATATGACAAAAATTTGGCCTTGCACAGAAATGTGGTTGGAAAAGGGAGGAATATTTTAATAGTCTCTTCAGATAATCATGAATATCTTCTTCGATAGGAATCTCCCAAATGACATCTGGGTTACATGATCATTATAATAATATATCATCCAAAACCTATTAATAAACTCCACTTACCCCATTACACTGAAATCCACTGGTCTATCTTGCACTTTATTTCTAATATATATTTTTTATTTATTCTTTTTATGTGTATGTGTGTACTTGCATGAGTTTATACACACTACATGTGTGCAAAAGCCCTTGGAGGCCAGAAGAGAGCATTGGATCCCCTAGAATGGGAGTTATAGATGGTTGTGAGTCTGCTGGGAACCAAATCCAGGTTCTTTGCAAGAGCACTAAGTGCTCTTAACCGCTGAGCCATCTCTCCAGTCTTATCTTATACTTTAAATAGACATTTGAATTATTTACAATTTTGACCTTGTGGACTCCCTGAAAAGATTTGGGAACCCCTGACCACATTTTGAGTACCACTGAAATAAACAATCAAAAAGTACAAATATGTAAGAGTTAATAAAATAATTAAGTTTGATCAAGGAAGTATCTTAAATACAAGAGGCATTAACACAGAAGTTTGCTCTTTTGAACAAGTGGTCCCCTCCACCAGCTGAGGTAGCATGAGCTTGGAAAGACAGTAAATGTGCCAGGTGTCCCACCCAACTGCCGAGGCCCTGGGTCAGCCTCATTATGAAGGGAGCACCACATCAGAGAGCAGCCTCACCTGTCCAACCCTAAAGCCAGCGGAAAGGCTAGTCACAGAGAAAAGACTACCCTGAGCAGCCCAGAGCATAGCAGACTCTAGCTCCATCCCTTGTGAAGGGCTCCCTCCTCACTCTCATCACCCACCCATGTCAGGGAGTCTAAGTCCTCCCCACATCAGAGTTGGCAGGTAAAGATGGCCCATCATCCTCTCCCAGGAGGTTTCCAGCCGGCCCCCACTACCCTTTGGAAACCAGAGCTGCCAGGTCCAGACTTGCTCAGCCCTCTGGCCATGTGTTGGCTTTACATAACCAGCCACAGGAACAATGCCCAGCTCTGTCCAGGTCAGCCACCGCAATGCCAACGAGATGCCAGTACCTTGCACAACCACCTAGGAGGTTCAGGACCCCTGCCAGTGCCTAAGGCCATGCCTCTCCTGCAGGGCACAAGATGGTCAGGCCCAGAGATGGGAGTAGGGAGTGGATTACAGGCAGCAGCACCATTCTGCTCAGAGCACAAAACAGAGTCCCTGCCAAGGTATCTCAGGGGATGTTTAAAACACATCCTACATTTTTACCCAAAGTCCCACTTCTGTGGAGATCTGACATTCCAGACGTTCTTTGCATCTGGAATCCTACTTTATTTTTTAAAAAAGAAGACTGACCGGGCATGGTGGCGCACACCTTTAATCCCAGCACTTGGGAGGCAGAGGCAGGCAGATCTCTGTGAGTTCGAGGCCAGCCTGGTCTACATAGCGAGTTCCAGGTCAGCTGGGGCTACAGGGAAACCCTGTCTCAAAAAGGCCAAAAAAAA